TAAAGCGACTCATGACTGTAATGCTATTTAATGTTAATAAATGGAACACTAGGAGTAGCTAACCCCTAATGGTAAAGAAATAAGGCGACACGATTGGGAACGCCAACAGTAAGTGCCTATATGTGAAAACATATCGTCATTTCTCAACATATAAATATGAAACCAACACTTATTTACTGTTCATACATGTTTTAAATAATATTTACGAATGTAACACTAATATTCTATTCACCAATGGCGGTAAAATCTAAAACATAAGGACAGCCAATGAATATTGTGCGAGTTTTTACTCAGATGACAAAGTCATCAGGTTTAACTCTGGCTGAAGCTGTAGCTTTCCATAAAGCTGTTGCTGAAACTGTTACTGAACCTGAAGTTGGTGGTTTAGGCCTTCGAATAATAAAGCTCTCGAAAGAACCTTGCACAGCTGCTTTCTTTTCTCATAATGCATCTTTATGTAGAGGTCATTTGCATTTATTTAAATTTTAAGGCTTTGTTCTGTTAATGGATCCACTTCAGAAAATATGTTCATTGCTTGCTCCATATAATATCCACAGACCTCTCACCTTTTTCATATCGTTTTAACACATCTAGTTTCTCGGCTAAGCTTAGACACTTTCTATTAGCTTTTGAAACAACACTACCATCACTTGCTCTCTTGCTCATGTTGAATAAGGATGCAAAAATGCTGTAAGAAACTTGAGAAAGTTTTTCTCCAGTTCCTGTTCCAGATGCGTGAAAACAAAAGGCCCGCCAAGCTCAGAGTGTTGTTTACCGCTCATTAGAAAGTCAGCTTCTTTGTGTAAGGTGCTTTTCATTTTTCGTACAGTATTTTTTATTTTTTTTATTTTTTATTTTTTACATAATACATATCGGGACTTAGTTATTATTTATATGAAAATGTAATTTTATTTTATTTTTATTATATTTCCGTCATAACTACGAATGAAATGAGGATGTAAACTGAATAGGGTCCAAAATTATCTAGGGTTTCAAATACGAAAAGTTTTGGACGAATCGTTGTTATCCGAGGCTTTACTGTACAGGTACAGTAGAACGATGATATAACACGAGATACGTTCCAAGAGAGGTCGCTTTAAACCGAATTCGCACTAAATAGAAGTGTTGTTTAAATGGAATAATTTAGTTTGGTACTTGAGAGAAACACAAAATACTAAAAAGACTGAATAAACAATTTATTGTTTTTTGTAGTATTATGTTAAAACAAACACTCATAAATCAACACAGCTAAAATTATGGGACGTGAAATGGTTTGTTTACTAGGGATCAGCTGATGGGAGGGGGGAGAGGTGAGGTGATATGTTTGACAGTTCATGCCAAGGTCTAGTGCTTATTAATTTATCTGTCCTTAAGAGTGACTAAGTTTTTCTCTTATAAAATGTCACTGAACTAACATGTTCTAATTAATTTTATTACAAAGAGCTAAAAATTTTATCTCTTGTGCAAAATATATGACGTTTACATTCAAATTATTCTCTGTCTTGCAAGGATTCCAGCAATGCAAATTATATTCTCCTAACTTTAGCATGTGATATTATATAAGATAACAACTGTAAGCCTATAACCACCCAACTCTGGCTGGGAAGATGAGGGGGGGGGGTGACAAGTGACACGTTTGACAGTTGGGATGGAAGGTCTGGTAAAGTATTCATTTGTTTATTTATGTCATTTAGATTCAGTTTTTTTTTTTTTTTTATAAAATGTCACAGAAGTGACCGAGGAGAATATAATTTACATTGCCGGAATTCTTCTAAGATAGTGATTAATTTGAATATAAACATGCTATAGTTTCCACTAGACAGAAATTTTAGTAATCATTTAGTACATTATTTTGAGTAGGCTACATGTACAGTACAGCTTTGCCCTTAGGACAGTGTAGCGTGCCCAGAGAAACATTAGGTGCAAATTTTAAAATATGATGCGCCAGATTGACTAGCGCAGAATAGGAAAGATTCGCTTTAAATTAAAGCATTGTTCTTAATTGTGGGTGTCGCTTTAAATCACTAATCTTAAATTGAATCACTTTAAATCGACATTCTACAAACTGAAAAATGAGCCAAATTATCACAATCTATTTTCACAAACTTAAGGCAAATTTGCCGAAGACGTAAATAATGGCTTACGTTGGCTTAACAGCAGAGGGAAGCTCACAACATCTCACTGTACCTCTTTCCCCAGCATACGTAACCCACACCAGATACATGTCTTACATTATTTAAGGACTGTATTACCTTTTAAGAAACATTTGTTTATTATCTAAATGAAAAATGCCCCTAGAAAGAAAAAAAACAAATTTACAGAAAGTTCAGCCGCCAGTCAGCCATTTGCAATGAGTCGATGATGCCAAAACAATAGCGATGGTGCTACACCCTGGTGGCAGTTCGCGGCAACACAAAACATCACAGCCCAAAATACTAGTTTCACATCCTGTCGGTACCGTATTTTTCGGCTTAAAAGATGCACTTTTTATGACAAAAATATACCTCGAAAATTACCATGCGTCTTCCAGGATGCTAGTCGATGAGTTGTAGCAGAGGTTTTTGAAATCACCCCCTTACAAAGACTGTTACCTCATTACAGTACCTAACAATTACAAGTATTCTCTATACAGTACTATAAAACTATTGATTTAACTAATATTGTTGATATATTGCAAAAAATAAATAAATAAACCCTTGCTGCTGTGCGGTTTGTTTACTAATGGCAGTGGTGCGACACTCATATTTGGACACCTATTTACAGTAGGCTCTCATATTTGGATACCCATTTAGACTGTAAAAACCCCACAAAATTAAAATCTTCCAAATTTAAATACACCTTCGTCTTCCAAGTAAAAACACACACACAACAACATTGGCTGTCCTTATGTCTTCAACTTTACTACCACTGGTGGGTAGATATTTTTTTTTAATTCAGAAACAGTTGCTTTCATATTCTTATGTAGAGTAATGATGATATGTTTACATATGTGCTCACTTACATATGTGATCTCTCTTTTTTTTTACCCTTAATTGTTAGCTCCTTCCATTGTTCCATTTATTAACATTAAATAACATTACTTAAAACAACCATATTAATTTTTCTACATTAATTTTAATACAGCTACAATGGAGGACTTATTTTCTTCAGTTTTATAATTATGTAGAACCAATCAGTCACTGGTTTTGCAAAAAACTAGTTGTTTTTTACTGTTATTTTGTTTTTAAATAAAGATTTTTTTGTTTTATATAGACGTTGATATACATGTTTACATTTGCTTACCTTCTACTGTTGGAAAATATTTCCCGTCGTTGTCATACTGACAAAAACAAGAGAAAGAATGTAAACACTACAGCCCCTAAGATGTGGAGGTGACCAGGTGTATAAAATGAGTGCTGTATTAAAGATTTCACCTTATACATATTTTTTTTTAAATTGATGAAAATGACGACTGATAAGCAGTTCTAAGTGATGATATTCAAAGAGGTGTGTGTACTTGTGCCAAAAGGGCTGTATATCAAACAACAGTTTCACTGGTGTAGGTATTAGGCAGCTAATGTACCAAACAAGGAGGTACTACCGTCTGGGAAGATATTGGAAGCAATCCCCGGTTGATGATCTGACTTTCTGCAGGGTCTCAATGGTCTCTCTTTGACAATACAACATACATACAGGTATATTGTTTCTCACTCTTGATATTTTATTTTCATTTTCGTATTTCTTCATTATTATTATTATTATTATTATTATTATTATTATTATTATTACATTTTTGCCCCCTAGGCCCCAATGTGGGTCAGTGACCTGTGCCCAGGTGGGCTAAAACCTGTAATTTTTTTTTTTTTAGAATTTAATTTCCAAAACCAGGGTGCGTCTTCCACGATGCAGCGTCTTCCAAGCCGAAAAATACGGTAATTCTCTTGACCAAAATATAAACAAGCCACACACAGCTGCTGTGATCAGAGGTAGAATTGGGTTAGTTTAATGTTACTATATATGATTTCCTACTTGATTCCAGTATATATTATATTTACATGCACAAAATTACATTTTCCCCTACAAAACCACTTTAAAATCACTTTCAATAATTGCATGATGAAACGTACTAAAAAAAAAATCCACAAAATATCCTTGTAAAGTAGGGGTGCGTCTTATGCGGCGGTGCGTGTTATATGCTGGCAAATACGGTATTTTTTTATTTTTTTTTAACCAAAAGATACTTTCTGGGCGGTTTTTTTTTTTTTTTTTACAATTGGTTTTGCCAACCTTGCAATAAATAATGTTTTAAAACAATTGAGCATTCTAAATATGAAATTTAAGAATACAGAACAACTTTCTTTTAACTAATTTCCCATACATTAGAGAGAGTAAATGAGGAAAAAATGGTCAATCAGGCAACTGGCTAAGTAACTGTGCATGGTGGGTGTGTTGCATCTAATTGTCTTCATGTGAGTTTGAGGAGTAAGTTAAATGGTAATTATAGGAGAATTATGACACCCAAAGCTTATTTGTTGACTTAATAACACTAAGAATAGTGAAGTTACTTAGTGTACAGATATTTGTGGAAATTAATAACATAACTAAACTGATACAAGTATTGTACAGTACTGTGGTTTATTACATGCTGTCCTTGAACACATTTTCTTGAGATGTAGTATTGCATTCACTTATGTAATTACCCATTTTACAGAAGCCTCCTGGTCCCAAAACTTTTCTGTTGACAGGTACTTTAGTGTTCTGTATTAGCCATTTTTATTTTGGCAAAAGTATTTCGATTTGCAATTTATTTCAAAAATTAAAATCAAGTGAACTCTAACATTGTGTATAAATTTGACTACTGTATTACCATACTTTGTTGCACTTTTACAATCTTCATATTGTGCCCATAATATCTTCTGACATGTGGTACAGTAATCACAAACTTCAAATATAGTTCATTATTCTCATGCAGTATACAGTATGTATTAATGATTAATGTAGGAATCTTTTTATTTCCCAAGATGGAAGAGAAACAATATTTCCATCCTCTGGAGGAACATCGTCATTGGTGTCCATGGGTGAAGAAGATTGATGATGACTCGAGTAATGAAGAAAGCAGTCAAATAGATGACAAAAGAGGTTACCACATTGTTGTTGCCAAAGTCAGAACACTAGTTAATTTATCTCTTAGAAAAGACTTGTACTCATCTGAAAAATATGTAAGTATTGAACTGTACAGTATGTTTAATATTTTGTTCAATAGTCATATGCCTGACCTTCCTTTATAGCATGTTCAAAATAATGCCTTTTAAAGTGTATTGCATCAGTCTTACATACTAGTGACAGTTTTACCAAATGCTGGTTCTTAAAATATACGATTCCTTACATTTCTCTAAGATCATTTACAGGTGGGATGTTTTGCAAGCATTCTTAATAGACCTATCAGGCAGAATATGGTTTTAAGTTTTATCAGTACAGGTTGTACCTTTCTAGTCCGGCAACTTCAGTACCTGACCGGCGCCGAACCATGGAAATTCACCCTTTTCCTGGAGAGATAGTGACTTGTGCTTATGCTTGGAAGCACTAGCACCACTTTCACTGCTTTGTGGTCTCTTTGAAAACATGTTGAAGGGTTAAATGTTGTTCAGTAGGTTCTCAAATTTCGCGAGTTTTTAATTCAACGTTTTTTATTTGGACACAAAATAAAACACTACACAATTTAAAATTTTGACGGCGGAAACTCGAATTTCGACGGGTTTGAGCGGCCCGCCATTGTTCAGACGTGCATAATCGTGTAAACAGCGTCATTTCTCTTATGTACAAAAGACTCATTATTGTTTAGTACTGAATGTCTTTTTGATTGAATTAATGTTTATGTGTGCAAAATGAACAATACAGTTCATTAATAATACGTAGAATATTAAAACACACGAGGAGACAAGACTGTATTGTTTTCGTTGTTTACAAAACCAGTGACTGACTGGTTCTACATATAAAATTGAAGAAAATAAGACCCTGGTTGTAGCTGTAGTAAAATTAATGTAAAAAAATTAATATGGTTGTTTGAAGTAATGTTATTTAATGTTAATAAATGGAACAATACAAGTAGCTAACCTTTAATGGTAAAGAAAAAAGTGAGATCGCATATGTGAAAACAAATCGTCATTACTCTACATAAGAATATGAAAGCAACACTTATTTACTGTTCATATATATTTTAATTCGTTTCTGAATTTAAAACATAAATTCTACCCACCAGTGGTGGTAAAGTTGAAAACATAAGGACAGCCAATGATGTTGTGTGTGTTTTTACTCGGATGATGAAATTGCCAAGTCATTAGGTTCAACTCTAGCTGAAGCTGTAGAACATAAAAACTTTTTCTGTGTTGTTTTTAGTTTTTAGTTAACTTTGTCTGTGTTATTTTTGTTGGTTTATTAGGATGTTGCTTTATTAGAGGTAGTAATTTGCCAAAAAAGTAGGGTAAATAAGGCAAAATTTAGCCAAACATCGAAAATACAGTACAGTGGTCCAGGAGCCTTCTACATACACACCTCAAAGTAAGTGTACTTTACTGCCTTTTTTGTTGACTTTTGACAATTTTCTGTGAGCTGGAACCAATTACCCAATATCCCATTGAAACAATGGATTCGGTTAACGAACGATTCTGTGGAACAAATTGTGTTCGTTAACCGAGGGACTACTGTATGGTGTTCCAAGGGACAATAGTACTGTGTAAATTATTCCAGCACAAAACTCGGCCAGGATTGGGAGTCGGTGTTCACCACTGCTAGCAGAGGGCTGATCCTCACAGCATCACTCGGGAGGGCAATCTGCATCATGGAGGCCCGGGCCTCTTGTCTGTAAACACCCCCAACCGCCACATCTGGCGAGGTCACAGGTCGCGTGGGGGGGGGGAGGTGACGCACGTGGTCGCAGGCTGAAAGATTTAATGTTTATTCGGGTAAGGCAATGCCAGCACTGTAGTTGAAGCCAGCTGCGATAACACTCCCGGCGTTAGGCAATCGCCCAAGATTTATGGTGTGGCGTGTTCAAGAAGGCATACATGGGTCACTGGCCTTCGGAACTCCCCCAAATACTGTTTGCACACGCACCTGGTGCACCAGCTCGTCAACTCCTGGGACCACTGCCGTGACCCTGCCCAATGGCCATTTGTTGCGAGGAAGATTTTCTCCAGTGACGGAGACAAGGTCGCCTTCCTGGTGATTCCGGGTTGGTTCTACTGTATATACCTCTGTCTTTTGCGGAGAAATGGAAGGTGCTCCCTCACCCAGGGTTTCCAAAAGCAGTCTGCTAGGAACTGCATGTGCCACCCCTGTCGTTGATATGACTCCAGAAGACATCCTCCTAGTAATAGATCAGCGTGTGGGCCACCGTGGAGGACGTGGGCTGGTGTAAGTGCTTCCAGGTTTCTCTCATCGCTCGAGGCAGGTGTGATGGGTCGACTATTTATGATCACTTCCACTTCACAAAATAGCATCTGCAGTCGATATTCATCCAGGACCTGGGTCCCCACAATTGCTCTGAGAACCTTTCTGACTGTTTGGATTTGCCATTCCCAGACTCCTCCCATGTCGCTCGACGCAGGTGTGATGGTTCGACTATTTATTATTGTTTCCAATTCACAAATAGCATCTGCAGTCGGTATTCATTCAGGACTTGTCCCCCCAGAATAGTTCTGAGAACTTTCTGACTGTTCAAATTTGCCATTCCCAAACTCCAAACGTCATGCTGCTTCCCTTTCTTCACCTTTTGTGAAATACACCTCCAGCATTTCAGTCACAGTTCGTCTCACTCCTGCCATCATGTTGAGCCCGGGATTTTGGTCAGGTGCTGTGCATTCAGGCTCGGGCAGAGGGTGGGCCCCCTTCAGCTTCTGTTGCCGTAAAGTTGTGGACATTCAGCTCTGGAGGGACAACTTCTACTTCTGGGTCACCTTCGTCCATGTTCGCCCTTCCCTTTCGTTGCTCTGGATCCATTTCCACAACCTCTTGTCCTTTTATTGATATTCATTTACAGCTCCGGTTAGGTCTCAAAGTTTGTCCGATGAACCACTGGATTTGATGCTGAGGTTAGAGGAGGTGTAGATGAGGGAGCAGGGAGGAAGCAGTAACCAGCCCTCACTGCCTCAGAATCCATCAACCAGCCCCGTCATGCATTTCACTGACTCCATCATGGTTAAGTTATTTTATAGTATGAGTGTATATAAATATAGTTATCAACACATCGTACAATATAAATATGTATGAATGCATTACTGTAATGTCATTTTCTGCGTGGGTTGTAGGTCGTTATACCGTGACACTGCGGAAACAATTAGGCTTATTTACTTGTATTTCAACATCACTCGTTTTGCGATTTTAAATTTCATGACACTAAAACCAGTACCAATTAGTCGCGAAACTTAAGCTCCTACTGTACTGTACTCCTGCTTCAACATAGTGTTGAAGATCAGCTGGGATGCCTATTTCCGTAGCAATGCTCCCCATCCCCATACACTCTCCTCCCATTATGTTTTGCCTTTAGGACAATTATTTCATTGTTGTTTTTTTTCCACAATATGTATGTATTGTAGGATGGAGTGTGTGAAGTAACTGGGTAAAAATAAGTTATGTATATTTACCAGAAAATACAAGTTGAAAAACAACCATAACACCTTACAGCTTGGCCCAGTAGTCTGGTGGTTAGGGTGACGAGTCTAACTTGGCTACAATGCTATGATCAATCACTATTAAGCATATACAGCTCCTCCCCGACTTACGACGGGATTAGAGACCCAAATCCAGGTCGTAAGTCAAATTGGTCGGAAGTCGAAAATGCTTAAATAATACATAGAAAATCTAAAATGAGTGTCTCTTTTTCTTCTCAGCACCACAAAACTCACATTTAAGCTTGCCAGCCATTTTAAAGTGAATTATAAACGAAAATTTTGTCAGTACACAGCGCAATCACCGACGTTGGGACTCAAAAATACGTAATTTGAGAACATTTTGGTACGACTGAGGCGGTCGTAAGTCGGGGAGGAGCTGTATCAATCCCCCACCCTGATACTGTAACGGGTGACCTAACGTTGCTTTAAAAGGCCAGTAATGAGAGACTTCTGTTCTCCCCCACCCTACCTCCACCTGACATTGATCAGGTTAGGTTAGTAACATGAAGCCCATTACAGTAATATCTTCGTTAGCCAGAATCCCTCAAACCCACAACTCTCCAATAGCCGGAATTTAAATTTTCTCGGAAAATCGTTCCCAAAGCCAGAATTTTCCAAAAAATTCTTGCTTTGGGAACAATTTTCCAGAAAATGAAAAAAATAATAATAAATTAAAATCCGAAACCCGGATTTTTTACTTTTTTTTTCTTCGGGTTTGAGAGATGAAAATCAGGCACATATTCTGGGAATTCCGGGGATGAGGGATATTTTTCCAGGTTCAAGGGATGATGTAATGGGAAATTTCTGGAACTTCCAAGAACATTTATCCGTTACCTGGAAACTTCCGGGGATGGGGTTTTTTCCGGTTTTGAGAGTCGTCTCATTACCCGGAAATCTCTCGTTCCTGGAAGTGCTCTGAACCAATTGTTCCGGCTAACGTTGATATCACTAATCCCCAACCACACTTCCATTGTAACTTTTCTGATGTTTTGTTTTTGTTTGTTTCCCCATAGAAAAATTGAGTCCATTATTATTATTGTATTTTTGTGACTGTAAAGTGAGCAGTGTAACTTTGAAAATGTCTATCAAACGTTTTATCCACCATCTTTAAGGCCGAGACAAAGACTACACCTCCAGTCGCCACACTTCAGACTCCTCAAAGTCAGTGTCAGGGACATTGTAGGATTTATTATTTTTTTTCTTCTCCTTTCTCTCGGTGATATATGTAGGCGTCCGACTGGCCAGGAACCTATCCCAGTGAACCCCATGTTATAACGATCCTGATTGACGATATTTTGACCTGCGATTGGGTTTTCAGGAACCTAACCCCATCATAACTATACTGTACCTGGATACAATCGGCCAAGAATACTGTTAAAGCAGTGTAAAAGTACTGTATGTACAGTACTGTACATTGCCGAGTGGACAGTGTATGCCTACTGTAAGCTAGTACTGTATGTAGAGGGTGTCTGTACAGTACAGTGTACAGTGCCTGTACAATCTTTCCTTCATAGAGGGAGAGGAGAGTGACAGCATGCTGCTATAGTAAATAGTACAGGACAAACTAGGCCATCCTGTATCATCATATCATTTGGACTGCTTACATCACAAGCTCAAGACAGCAGCATATGATGGCAATTACACTATAGTGTACATAGTAGTACTGTATATTTTATGTACAATATTCTGTACTTACATAGTGTATAGTGTCTCAATTCCAGAAACACTGCGCCACTTGTTCCGGCTAACTGGGAGAATACTGCAATTTGTTCCAGAACATAGCTGGTTTTTGGCAGCATTGCAAATACCGGGACGCCGGATAAAAGATGCCATACCTGTACAATCGGTGCAATGCAGCATATGTTTAATTAATATGTAAATGGAAGAAGTATAATACTAAAGTCATTAATTGGTGTATTTATCTTACAGGCAAAAAATGTCCAGGGTCTGCGATCCATTCGCAACATGCTGAATGAATTATCGTCAGGTGACCAGTTAGAGGACGTAGGAGAGAAGTGAAATTATTTTTGGTTCCATTTTATTCTCTATTGTTCAAAAATTTGTTTATTTTTAAGGATAATGGTGATTTTCATCAATGACTAACATTTATTATTTTTATTTGATGTAATAAAACTAGAAGTTAACTTGATAATTTTATTTTTGTTTGCACTACTGGGGTTGCTTTATATACAAAAGGTTATGATGATTTGTCCTGACTAAGCACAAATGTTGAGAGTTAAACAGGTGTAGCAGGTAGAACTGCATTTTCCCATGGATAACCCAATGCCAGACTTGAGTGTCTTCTATCTGGAACAAGGTTTTTTAAATGGGTTACTGCCAGGTTCTAGGGCCTGTCTCACCAGCAACAGTGAGTGAGATACTGGACAACTACTATTGCTCACTGGCCACATGAATAATGGATGGAGGTGATCAACTTTTTATAGTCACTACTCTGTCCTATCACACCATGAAACACAGTTATGTTCTCTCTTGTGATAAAGTTTCCTACCCATATAAAACTGGGTATATCCATAGGGAAAGACAGGTCAACAGACATAAAACTTAACACCAATCAGTATCTTCCTCAGTAGTATGATACCAACTACTCTGTACAATGTCCAGTCATTCGGTCAGGGGCATTCCATGCAAAATCATTCACTCGATTTACACTTTCCCAAGTACACACACACACATGCATGCTCACATGCACACATCAAAGAGCATGAGAGCCGTGGGTGGGGGTGGGTAACAAGTGGTGGCCGTTGTCAACACCTAAATGGGATGATCTGGAAACACTGCATATTCCTAATTCCTACGAGAAATACACAGGGTGTTATTCATCCTGTCTTGAGCACTAAGGAAACATCATTTGGACAGGTATTGTTTATGCCTGCCTGCCATCCAGTGGCCATTCCACACCCATAGCTTAAACATTTCCCTATAAAGTTGTTTTACATCCCCTTGCATGCACCCTCATAAATGCTTAAAGAACTGAAAAGGATTTTCTTTAACATAAAAACAATGGTGAGTCCAACAAAGATCCAACCAACCCTGGGTGATGGAACATGTACTAGGTAGTGCCAATACACAGCACTTGGTTTGTACAATGTCACTAAATGTTTACTAGTGAACCTATACTATAGCCTAGGTGAGCTAGCATACAACGTATTTATACTCTAATGATGTATCCCAGTGCCTCAGGGCTAGCTGCACTAGCATCTACAGGTGGGGGTGGCCTCCAGACTTGGCATACAAAAACAAACTTCTACCAGTGGCCTGCACATGAGCTTTCAACAAACATAACCTGGAATGTACAAAGGAAGTCAATTTGAATCCAGTTCATTTTATCAATCTGAGAAGGATGTGCTTTTAACTACTTAATGGCATATTTTCATTTTTTATGCAGCATTATCTGAATTCAAACCACATCACAAAGTCTACAACAGTCACGTTACTTTTATTTAAAATTTGAAAGACTTTGAAAATCGTCACAAGCAAGTCAATCTTCTAGCGCACACGCTATGAATAACATCACTCAAATTAAATTACCCTATGATGAATCTCTTGAAATCTGCACAACATGAAAAGGATAAAAGTGAAGTGCGGCAGACTTGGCAGAGTGACGTTATTTAGTGAGCACCGATGGCTAACACAATGACCACCCCTTCCTAAGTCTTCCACAATCTTTCACATATTTAACAGTAGTGTTGTTATGTTCATCACCAAATAAAGGAGTTAACTTAAGACAGAGAAGTATGATTGTACCTTCTCCATTGATGAAGATAATCACAATCCTAATGTGTTTCATATCCACATTACCATGACTTACTTGTCAGTATGGAATCCTGAATATGAAGAATTATTAAAGAATAGTTTTAAACAATACACCATAAAAAAAATTTGCAAGCAAACACCATATTATTTTTTATAAATCTGCTAGCTGATGTTAACAAATTATCAACTAGCAAAGATTGCACTTAATTTATTCATAATTAAACAATACAAGATTTAGAAGCTCGGGGAGCAAGACATGTTCCATACAATAAAATTATTCCATATGTGATAACATACAAACATCTTGGTAAAAAAGGTTTTCTTCCACATATATATTTTAGAAGCCAAAACCAATCCTTATTCTCATTAGTCAATTATATTGCAACATTTGAAACATGATCTGAAGCTCATGGATTCACTTCTCTTAATGCTATTAAAACCAACACAAGGACATGAAGCCAGTATAACACAGCACTACTCTTTAAAGGAGATATGATATGCCCCAAAATCCTTATACAGGTATAACTTGTCTTTGATCTAGAAGATATGAGATAATGTGTAAAAAAATTTATCCAATCAAAGTATCAGCCAGTACATGATTATAAAATTTATATTTTAGTAAATGATAAGTGAGGAAAAATTGAGAATATGGACTTTTACCTAGCAAATTCTCACTTTCATAATTCTGGATGTAAATATGTTAATCTCCATAATGCATCTATAATATTAACATGATTTTATTTATAGCTTCTAAAATGTTACAAAGTTATGAATGTGTCACTTCTTGTAGTCAAAAACAGATTATATTTGGATACATACTGTACTAGCCTTGTGGCAATCTAAATGGTTCAAGAAATAAGTGCACAGCCCACTGTATGAGCAGTAAACATTGACACATACACATTTAGACGTTGATTTAAGAAAGGCGATGTGATTGGAGTAATTATTGAGATTATATTATTTTGTTTGTTCTTACTTTGGTATAAATACTGTAATATTAATTTTGGATAATTATGTGATAAGGATTATTTGTTCTGGCAGTAAAGGTTTTGAATTCTACATTTAGATTACAGTAAGGTGTACAAACAGATCCCACTTTAAAGCAGAATCATGACAAAATAACTTTAGTAACCAAAAGGCAGTAACTATACTGTTTATTTTATAGCTAGCCATTCTTGAAACTACTATTTTAAGTTTAAAACTTAAATTGTAGGTGACTGTTCATGTGCATCACAGAAAAAATTCTCAACAGGTGCTACAGGTCCCTATGATAACCATGAATAAATGTACTGTATGAGATAAAAAGTAATTAAATAAATTCTTCTTTTAAAAAATTTAATGCTTCCCGAGCTATGTTTAGAATAGTTTTAGAATAGTCTTTTCCATTACGGCAAACTGTCAGGAAATCACAGAAAAGCTAAAATATTGTTTATGCCAAAACTTATTTTACTAATGTACCATGACAAGTAAAAATCAGTTAAGTACTCATGAAAGTAAAAACATTTAAATATTATTTAAAACTTGCACAATGTAATCCAATCTTTTATAGTGTACTATAAGCAAGATAAGAGAGCTCCCAGAAGACTCATGCTATATAGGACTTGTTGGACTCTTTAAGCGTTTCCATGATGGGGGGACGTGTGAGGTGCCGCGACACTGGACCACAACAAGCTTCTAGGAAGGCTCGGGAGAAAATTCAAGAGGAAATGAAACTATCAGGTTGCCTAAACTATAATTGTTGTGGACTACTTAGTTGAAAGTATTGATGGTGCTCATGAGAATATTTTTATCATAGTACATCATGTGCTCCTTTAACAACCATCTTGGATCAGTCATTAACCTTCCTTTAAGAAATAAATTATACTAACAAATTAAACTTGCTTCCTGACTAAGATTGTCATAAAATATTATTTAAACCTGCTACAATTTTATTTATACATGCTGAATGAAGGAAGAGAGGAACAAGCCGAGCCATCCCTGTGCCTGCAAGTCGAATGTCACCTCTGCAAGCTGAGTGGTGGACGGACTTGAGCCATTCCAGTAAGAGACATAACTCTGGGCCATTTACCACTAGAAATAACAAAACTTCTGGATATTTATACCGACAAAGATATTGCTCTAACAGAATCTAAATTGATGTAGGAGTTGGAGAAGTCAGCTTTACATGATAATGAAGCTAAGACCATTAGAGTGGTGAAACATCTAGTAGACTCTCCTGGAGTTTTGTCCCTTACTGGCCGTTCTCATCCATCTCGAAACCCTACATGGCATGTTACTATGGTGTGGAGAGAGAGACGAGAGAGACTCTGCATATTCTTGGCAGAGTTTGGGACGTCATATTCTGCCTAAATATGAAATGGTAAAATGGATGCTAAAAGACTGCAAACAATCTCTTCACTTTTTTACCATACAATTCATTTCACAAAAAACAACCAAGTTTTGTCTGTACAGGAAATACAAATTGACATGACTGTACATTTGTAGATTGCTTACCTATGAGACCCATGGAAGAACTGGTATGCTAAAAAGGATTAAAACCAAAAATTAACTCTTATCACATGAATAGTTCTCAAAATATTTCAATAATGTCTTGGATTAACACAAACCCAACACAGATCTCCTGACATAACTTCCCACAACTTTCCAATAAATGAAGTTTACAATCCCTGTTGTAAATAAGCAAACATCACACAATCATTATTTGATATGCCTTACTTTATTTTTTCTTTAGCAGCCACAAGCAAAGCTTTCTAAATGAAAGCTTCAGTAACACTTCCCTGTACATTTTCTGCAAACTTCTTAGGAAATATTTAACAACCACAAAATTCAGGGACAATATTGACACAAGCTGAGCAAGATCGATGACTTCTTGCAGTATTTCACTTGGTACAGGGGACTCATTGTATTGCATTTTGCAAACTAATCTTATTTATAAGTATGGTAACATTGAAGTACACAGGTTCTCTCTGATGTTGATGAGACGTGAAGCAGGAAAATATCTACAGCTTACAGTACCTAAATTGCATATTTTTGTCTATATCATCATGGTTTGAACGGTGTTTTCAAACTTCTGATGCATGCATTCACGCACTCACTCTGATACAACACAAAATGGACACAGAAGATGGTGTGGACTACACAGAATGATGCACCTCAGCCAAGAAGCACAAGAGGGATATCAGAGATGTCACATAACTGCACAAGAATTTCAGCTACTGTACAGTTGCTTGAAATATGAACCTGCAAAGCCCAGTCATATCACCAGTCACAAGAATGTGACAGTTACTCCTAAGAAATGATGCACACAGCTGTTAATTGACATCTGTCAAACAACAAACTACTGAGAAACACTGGCCCATACATTCTGTTTCCAAGCACAGAAAATCCATCTATTTCCATTCTCATTTAAATAATGGTAATCTTCCAACCATAGCATCATACTCTTGATGGGTACCAGTCTCCTGTCAGTAGCATATGTGAGTGATGTGCAACAAAGGAGAGAGCTGGGAGGGCAGGCATGGGGCGGAGGGACTGCTAAGAAGGTTGAGGGCAGCCCTATCTGTGATTGGGGCGATGTTGGTCTTGATCCCCATCTGCAGTTGCATTAGTGGCAGCAGGGGGAGCATGGGCGTGGGTGGTAGCTGCTCCACGTGCTCCAGCCCCAGCACTTCCCGGGGAATTGAAAACCAGTTCATAGTCCATTACCTCCTTGTAGATCAGCTCCTTCCACTGGTCTACTGTGTGCTCACGGTCATCTACACTGTGGTCATATGGACCTGGTGCAGGCTAGAGAAAACATGATACAGTATTATACATAACTGGAGGTGGAAATGTCAATCAGGTGATACCTAGAAAAGAGCAAATAATTACTTCAATCTATGATTAATTACATTCATAAGAGGAAATTAGTATCAAAGCTGGAATAAAAGAAATGTGAATTTTCTGCAAATATGATGAAATGTAACTATTTCCTTTATCTCTCACAACTGGATTCTACTCTTTGATAATGGTTTCCTATACATCAGTACTTTTTTGAGAGGACACATAATTTACTCAGCGATTGTTCACATTAATGTACTATTACTGAACGAGTAGCAATGGAAAACCAAATTGTTCAAATCTACTGTAATTTACAACAAGAGAGGTTAACCTTCTTGAACATTTTGACAAAAATCACGTCAAATCACTGGGTAGTACTATTTGCATCATTAAACTTTAAAAAAATTGTGCGCCATAGATGATTGCATGACCATGCGAGGGAAGCTTCAAGAAAGTACCAAAGATTGGGTAGAGTTCCGCTGCCCATTAGTTTCCTTCCGTTAGCCGTCTCCTACCCTCCCCACAATTAGTTGCACCAAAATTACAAAGCCACCAGTACAAATCTCGTAAAATTCTGCTTTTGTAATTTTATTATTTATTTATTTATTATTTGTTTTTGTTTTTTATAAGGGAATTGCCCACCCGGGCACAAGTCATTGACCTACAATGGGGCCTGGGGAGCAAAAATATAAAGAGTAAAGAAAAATTTTTAATTAGAGGAGAAAAAGACTTTGTTAATCTACAGTGTAGATTAACAAAGTCATGTAGTCGTGTAGATTCTACACGAAGATGCTGGAAAACCAGCTTTTAGAACAGAGACAGATTGTAAGAGGATGGAAACAGAAGAAGGCAGAGCATTCCACAGTTTGGCTGTGAGGAAAGAAGGAGGTACTATAACGGGTTATTCTAGTGTGACCGACATCTACAGAGAAACGGTGGGCACCGCGGGCAAGACGAGTGTTATGAACCCACGGCCTTGCCGGCGGTACACAGAATGCCAAATACACTGAACATTGCCCGTTAAAGTACCTGTAAAAGAGAGAGAAAGAAGCAACATTGAGGCAAAGAGAGATTATCAACTAAAGGAGGAGAATTTATAAGACAAAATGCCTTTGATTTCATCTTATCTACCACATTTCAAGGCATTATAAGATGCACTTTTTTGTCTGAAAAATATCTAAAAAAACCCAACCTGTATCCTATATGTGAAGTGGCGGTCTCCCACAAGCTAATGAATCCCCCAGTTGCTGTCTCCAGTAGGCTAACTTCTACCTAACCCAACTCCAGAATTAAAAATATGTTATTGCTTACTTAAACACATTATTATTATTTTTAGTTAAATAAAAAATAAATCATTGTATTCCAGTCTATTAATGCCATACTTGCAACATTTATTTTTTCAATCTACAAATGCCTGATACAAATGAAGTTACAGATAAATTTTTTTTCATATTTACATCTGTTAACATCACCGGCATTGTAGCCAGGTTAGACTCAGTCTCTGTAACTAGCCTACTGGGCCAAGCTGTTGTTTTTCAACTCGTATTTTCAGGTAGGTATACATAACTTTCATATATTTTTACTGATATACATGCACACACCATCCATCATACATAGTGAAAAAAATAAAAGAAATAATTGTCCTAAGGACAACCACATAAAGGGAATATACATTTCTTTGCACATGACTCAGCTGGCTTCGTGGGGGAGGGAACGTTGCTAGGGAATCAGCAGAGGTAGTGTTGCCATTACTATGGTGAACAGGGAGTACAGTATATGCAAATGGCAACTGTGTTAAACTTTCATTTGGCTTTTATTTACTGGTTTGGCAATACAGTATTTTTTGTTGTAACTTATTTATTGGTATTATGTTTATTTATTCCTCATATTTATTATGGATACAGGAAGAAAATACACACAAAAGGTTTTTTTCTAAATACTCCCTGCTAAAATGGTCGGGGGCGTCTAATATGCTGTAAAATAAGGTAACAGTTGGACAGAAGAAGAACCACCCCAGTTATGTAAGCAGTACTTCAAGTTAGGATGAATGAATCCCCCTATAAACCTGAAGCAACTGCTCCGGAGTGAAGTAGCTACGGCATCTGTACAGCATTCCCAGCTTTCGGGAGGCAACTTTAGCAATGTTGTGGATGTGTGTAAATGAGGCAAGTCAGATCAGCAACCTGGGGCTTGGTGACAATTTTTGTGATGCCATATGGCAGCAGGGTTTACCATTAGACAATACAATAAGCTTCCAATATCCTCCCAGGTGGTAGGTTTGTGAGAAAATATGTAATATGATGCTGGGATTATTATTTTATTTATTTATTAATTAATTTTTGTTTTATTCAAATTGAAAAAATATAGTAAGTCCTTGCTTAACATCATGATCATGTTCTTGTAAACCACAATGTTAACGGAATAAATTTTTCCCATAAATAGATAAAATACGCTAGTTACATTCCACAGTCTCCTTTTTCCCCATTTCATAGACAGTACAGGTATATAAAGTCAATGGAATTTTTATAGAAATTATTTTTTATATCCAAAATATAAATAGAAACTAAATTAATGTTAAATTAATAAGATAAAACAGTAACTTTGTACTGAACTCACTGACGAGCCTTAATCTTTGTATGTGTTGGTCCAGATACTGAGTTGTAAAGTAACAGTATAGTCTCGATTTACGCGGATTTGGTTTACGCGTTTGGTCATTTACGCGGCACCTTGCGAGACCGACAATTTTTATTTACACGGTTCATTCCATCATTTACGCAGGAAGCAGCGCGGGCAGGGTGCACACAAGGTCGCCCAGTCAACAAAACATTACCGAGTTCTTCACACGCCACCCACCACAGCCGGCCCAAGTCAGTGATAGTGATAGTGAGAATATGGACTTTGAGGGGTTTGACAAAGAGGCCCTGCAAGCCTCTGTGGTGGATAGTGATACAATTGATACAAGTGATACAGGTGAGGGCCAATAATCTGCCCTCTGCCTCAGAACCAACCCCCCAATTCCCGTGTGCCCAGCCATCTTTTCTACTAACATAAGTGTTAAAAAACCTAATATTATTGATATTTCTCTTAAATATTAATTGTGTGTGCATACCATCATAAAATTAAGATGTTATTTTCACTACAACGTACGTATTGTGTTGGAAAAAGGGTAGTCTGGGGGTTGGCCCAGTCTCTATTTCAATTAATCCCATATGCTCTGTTATTTCATTTACGCGTTTCTCGTTTTACGCGGACCTCCACGGGTTCAATTGACCGCGTAAATGAAGACTATACTGTAAATAAATTTACTTTGTACTGTACTCAAGTAACATTTTTGGGTACAGTAAAATCTCTATGATATGAGTAGATACATTCCTTGAACTCTGCTCGTTTAGTGAAAACTCGTATAACTTGTTAAATAGGGATGCATTCCCGAGCACCGAGTATAGTGATGACAGTAAATAAATGCAATAGCAGGTTCAAACATTGGAGAAGGGAGAGGGTGGCTGGGGGAGGATGGTAGGGAGGGGTGTGCGACCTGGCCTGAGTGGCTTACAAACATGTCTCTGTACATGGGCTGGGGGGAGGACAGTAGGGAGGTAGGGGAGGGGTGCACAGCCTGGCTGAGTGGCTCACAAACACATCTCTGCACATATGGCTGGGAGGACAGTAGGGAGGTAGGCGAGGAGTGCACGGCCTGGCTGAGTGGCTCACAAACACATCTCTGCACATATGGCTGGGAGGAGGACAGTAGGGAGGTAGGGGAGGGGTGCACAGCCTGGCTGAGTGGCTCACAAACACATCTCTGCACATATGGCTGGGAGGACAGTAGGGAGGTAGGGGAGGAGTGCACGGCCTGGCTGAGTGGCTCACAAACACATCTCTGTACATATGGCTGGGAGGAGGACAGTAGGGAGGTAGGGGAGGGGTGCACGGCCTGGCTGAGTGGCTCACAAACACATCCCTGCGCATCTACGTCATGAGAGACATCACAGACCACGTCACTGCTTGTTCTGCCTACTCGGCTGGGTAAACAGAACAAAGAATATTTTAGGCCCATGGGCACTGGTTGACCGGGAGGTGGGAAACAAACAGTTGTCAATTGTTGTTTGTGGGAATATTTCATTCACTCTAGAAATGATACAGCACAATGTTTCTTTATGTTATCGTAGGTAAATGCACGGTTTAAATAATTTGTTTATCACCGTTTTCAAATTAGACTACAAGATATGTATTTCTCTCATACGTATTTCGATCGTACGCTTGGCAACGGGTGCGGGAAAGAGAAGTGAGTCCTGTGACTGCCTGTTTAACGCGTCGTCTGCATTTAACTGTCCTCCCTCCCTGCAATATTTCATGGGATTTACTGTTATTATTAGAGTTTACTGAAATAATAATGCTTAATAGGATTTATCATGGCATTGTAGCCTGGTTATACTCATCACAGCAACCACCAGGCTACTGGGCCAAGTTGTGAGGTGTTATGGTTGTTTTTCAACTCGTATTTTCAGGTCAATATATGTAACTTTCTTCATTTATTTTTACTCATTTACATGCACACAGCATCCTAAATACAGGACATATTGTGAAAAAAGCAATAGAAATTATTGTCCTAAGGGCAAATATACTGTACTACGTTAATTACTAAAATTTTTATCTCTTGTGCAAACTATGTGATGGTTTTACTCAAATTATTCGCTATCTTGCAAGAATTCCAGCAATGTAAGTTATATTCTGCTAAGTCAATTCAGTGACATTTTATAAGTTCAAATCTTAAAACTCCTTCAATATGATGGATAAATACACACTTGGTAACCTTTGCCGCCCGGCTATCAACACCTCACCTCCCCCTCCACCATCCTCCCAGCCAGGGTTAAAGTTTTTATCTTATAAAATATCACAGATTAAACTTAGCAGAATGTAACTTGCATTGCTGGAATTTTTGAAAGATAGTGAATAATTTTAGTATA